GCGAAGCTTTCATCCTGTATAACAGACTTCCGCCTTGCAAAGCAAAATATCAGATTTGATGTTGAGTCTCTCGTAAATATTCTCCATCTCCTTTTAACTAAAAAACCGACACGACTATACATAATAATATTCGATAGTTAGAGAGAATAATTTTCTCAGATTAATTTTCTCTCTCGATATTTCAACTAAAACAACCCAACCCTCTTTTCATTCCTCTAACGTATTGTTTAAACTGGGTATCGAAACAACAACAACAATTTATCGATTACATCACTGTCGAATATGATGTAAATAGGGTTTGCAAGGCGTTACTTATTATTAAAATAACTTTTCAATTTGAATACTTACGCATCGTGTTTAATACCAATATTCCAAATATACGTATTAATAAAATTATCAAATGTTATATAGATATTTATATATATCATAAACTAGGGGTGTCCCGCCAAGCGTTGTTGTGGCTCACAATCAGCAACGAATTACCTTATACCGCCATCTGTTAGAATGATATAAACTATCCTATCTTTCAAGTTGGATGAAACTGCACACAGTATGTAAAATTTTATTAAAATTGGTTCAATAGTTTAAGAGTCCATTGCCGACAAACAACGTGAAACGTAATTTATATATATTAAGATAAATATAAATATATATTGGTGTACATCGATAACCAATGTATAATATTTACTTAACGGTACTTAAAGCTTTAGATCAAAACAACTTTCCAAAGTTTACGTTCTAAATGCAACCTACTAGTCGAAACTATACCATCATCATCATCATCATCATCCTGGAGAGATTCGTTAATGTAAACGAAATAACACATAGAAATTCGTATAGTCAACATACACGCATATATTCGATCTACCTGATTTCCGTAAATGAATTATACCCGGATGTTATGAATATTAAGTTACAAATGTGGTTTCCATGTAGAGAGCAGTGGATTCGATTCGCACGAAAGTTAATCCATTTGATTGGCGCAAGCATTTGTAATTACATCGATAATAATTGAACATTCCTAATTATTAATATATATATGTATATATAAGAGTAGTCACGAAATTGTGTAATAGTTTCAATTGACGATTGATAACAATTTAACAAAAAGAAAAAAAGAAAAACATTTAAATATCTCACGAGCAAGAAGGTATAAAAAAAAATTATTAGAAAGATTTTCAAGAGAAAAATCAAGTTTTCCGAGTGGTGTGAATAAAAAGGACAATCGGTAGAATGCGAGTTGAGAAAAAAAGAAAGAAAGAGAGAGAGAGAGAGAGAGAGAGAGAGAGAGAGTGAAGTGTGAGATAAAGAAAAAGGGAATAAAAGTAAAAAGGAAATAAAGAAAATAATAAAAAGAACAAAATAAAATAAAAGGAAGTAGGAGAGTAAAAGTAAAAAAAGAAGAAGAAGAAGAAAAAGAAGGAAGAAGAAAGCTTCTTCCTTCGTTAGGAAGAGGAAAGGGCTGAGCAGGGGCAGGCAGGTAGGGCACCTTTCGGCAGGATATATGAGCACGAAAGAAAAAAGCGTCGTTACCGGAGGCTCATTAACGGGAACTACTCCCAAGACACCCCTAGCAACACCTTCGGTTCCTGTCTGCAACTGAAAGAGGGAAAGAGAGAAAGAGAGAAAGAGAGAGAGAACCTTCTATCTTTCTCATCCTCTCCCTACCAACCCTTTTCATCCCTTCTACCTTCTATCCTTTCCGACGGCCCTATTCGCTACTCGGTGAGAGGCCGTTCCTAGGTTCGAACGAGAAACGTGTACAGAGGTCCGATACTAATTAGCCCCCCACCCCCTCACCACCAACACTTTCTCACTCTTTTTCCACCTACTTTTCGCACTTACTTGAGAGAAAAATCCCTCACCCTTTTCTCTTCTTCTTTGTCGTCGTACTTTTCTAAAAGACTCTCCCCATCTCTCAACCACCCCTCCCCCCACCCCACGTAATATCGATAGACGCGCGCCACTCACCAATGTACTTTCTCTTTTATTTTTTTATTTTATTTTTCTATTTCTTTTCTCACGCTTCTTCACGCTTCTTCTACTTCTTCTTCTTTCTTTTTACTCGAGCGAGAACTTGGACACGAGTCAAATTCACTCTAAACTATTTCTCCCTCTCTCATTCCACTTACCCTTTTACCACTCACTCACTCTCTCTCTCTCTGTGTACTCTTTTTTTCTTTCTATCTCATCGAATCTCTAGTCAATCGTTAACTTTGACTTTGTAAACTCTTGTTTACGTGCTCGACTAATAAAATGTTTCTTCTTTTTTTATTGTTGTTCGAAAAACAATGATAATATCGTTGCAAAAGAAACACTGGTGTATCAATTATTTCACTTTTATCAAATGAATAAATAATATCATCGAAATGATAACAATGATAAAAGTTAAATGTTTATTGTCTCTCTTTTATATTCTTTTTCTTTTTTTTTTTTTTTTTTGAAAGCCTTTGTTGAAATGCTCGAAATATTGACATGAGATTTAAAAAATAAATCGTTATAAAACAAACAAAAAAAAGGTGAAATCCTCAATGGAACAACCCTTTTGTACGAAAACATTATCGTTGAAGAGAGTGGCACTTGACCAAAAAGGGTGTAGAAGGGATTAAATTGCAAGGGAGTATAGAAAGAGAGTGTGTGTGAGAGAGAGAGAGAGATATAGAATGATATATCAAAGGACCGGCGTCGAAATTTTGAGATGTTCGCCACTTGAACGTCTTCCTCTAGCACGGAAAGCGTACGTCACACTGGAGGGTAGTCGTCCCCAAGTTCGGTAGGGTGCTGTGGGGAATAATTAATGAGAGGGTGAGAATATCTTCTTCTCTGCGAACATACGTTTAACGATCCACCCACCCCCATCGAAGTAGGAAACGACAGAGGGAGAGAGAGAGGTAAAAGCTTGAAAGATATCCATGGGGGGATGGTGTTCTATATGTATATACCACCTACAGATGTGCACCATCGTACGAGCACGTACCTCTATAATTGTTGGCGTGGCTCGAGGACAATCCTTAACGTTCCCGTCACCTTCCGATCCCTCTCACGTTCCCGTCTACAACCTTTACCTCTCCTCTTTACCTTCCTCTTCCTCCTAATCCCTTTCTCCTTCCTTCACATTCCACATCTGATGTCATTTAATTCGATCTCCACATGAGAAACTTATAATCAAATTTTTCATTTTTACTTTTCCGTTTATAATTGTCGATTCATTTTCTACATCGTCAATTCGATAATTTGTCGAATAATATTAATTAACCCTTTGCACTTCGCACGATTTTCGACGTTGGGTAATAGCTACTCGGCGCCACAGAAATGGCACATTTACATACCCCTCGTATTATTTAATATAACTTTGGAACCAAGTAACGGATTCACTTCTTCAAATCATTCCCATTCTAAAAAAAAAAAAGTTTTCACGTTCAATACTAGAAAGAAGAAAAACACAAAGATGAGAAAGAAGATGCAATGGAACGTGTCGATGGAAGATTCTCGTAAACGTATCGATTTAATTTCAAGCATTTGAAACGGTAAAATTTCATCGCTTGGAAATAACGATTCTCTTTTCTAAAAGTAGAAAGATCGAAGAGTTCAATTTCTCTCTTTTACTATTACTCTACTTCAAATTTTCAGATGGCAATAATAATCATTACATTACAAACCTCTGCCTAGATAACGGCAACGTAATAGTGGCTTGTCAATATGAAATCCCTGTATTTGCGGATTTGCTTAGTCGCATTGATAACAATCGTGATCCCATGATTCATTTATAATCTGATGCATTATGACGCTCTCTCTCTCTCTCTCTCTCTCTCTCTCTCTCTCTCTACATAGTACCTATGTAATACGTCATGCTTGATGATACCGCATTATATCGAAAATTGAGCTAACAAATTGTCATGATAACATACTATTCTTTTAAATGTCATATCGATTCAATCATAATTATTACACGTCAATTGTTATCGTTTATAATTCAATTGAAAATTAATACTACTACTACTATTACTAATATTACTACTACTATACAAGCCTTTTTTTTAACATTGAACAGATTTTCTAAGATTACACATGGGAATTATGACGGAATTAACAAGCCTGCTGTTCTGTTAAAAGAAAAAGAATATATATATATGTAAAGAAGCAAATTTTGCAAGCCTTAGAAATGTTGGGTGAAAGAAAAAAAATGTCGAAAAAAGAAAAGAACCGTTTGGCGAGATCGTGAACGGCTTAAAATGCTCGCAATTGCTTCTTTCCTGAGCACATATCGAGCTAACCATAGACGCGACGATATTCTGTACGCTTCAATGCTTTTTACGATGCATAGTCCCTGAGAGTTGGATCGTTCGTACAAGGCATTTTACGGTTAACTGGTACTTCGACCGTAATATACGATTCTTAAGGCCGTGTTCAAGATCTCGAAAGTGCAATAGCTATTATATGAAACGTTGTTAAGTTTTCAAGAGTTCGCCGTTTGAATATTAATGCAACGAACGCGAACGTTGAATCCTCAACCCCTTCCTTCCTTCCTTTGCCTTCCCCCCCCCCTCCCGTAACTAAAGGACGAACTTTTCCGCTTTTCCATGTACGCGTGATGGTATTATTTAACGCACTTAAACATAACACATTTTTTTTAAGCTATAAGAAGCCCACCTTTTTTTTTTCTTTTTTTTTAAACTGAAATGAACAATATAATTATGAAACGTTTAAATAAAAAATACATTGCAGTATTGTGCATTATATTAGGTGGTTCAGAAAGTCGTTTCGTTTTTTGCTAACGCAATAATGGCATTAGTTGGTTGCAAACCGACAAATAGTAACACATGACAAGTTAGGTTTAACCTCGAAGCAAAAATTGTCTTCATTTTTACAAAAGAAAAACGAAACGACTTTTCGAACGAAACCACCTAATAGTTGTCTTGAAAATGTATATTAAGCAACATTAATTTTTCTTCTTCATCTTCTTCTTCTTCATCATCATGTTTTTATTCTTCTGTTTTCAGGTCTCATGGATACGTAAAAAGGATTTACATATACTAACGTCTTCGGTTCATACGTATACCGGAGACGCGAGATTTTCCGTTAAACATCCAGAATCTTCGGACGAGTGGACGTTGAAGATTGATTACGTTCAACCTAGGGATGCAGGAATTTACGAGTGCCAGGTCAACACCGAGCCTAAAATGAACTTAGCCTTCACGTTGAGAGTCGAAGGTAAAATTTACACTTAACTCGTTGAATATTTTCTTTTCTACGAAAGATCGCAAAAATAAAAAAGAAAGAAATAAAAAGAGAGAGAGAGAGAGAGAGAGAGAGAAAGAGAGAAAAAGGAAGAAAATAAAAGAAAGAAAGAAGAAAAAAAAGTATAGGAAATGGGGGCGAGAAAGAGTGGTGAGTGGTAAATAACAAAAAACCACAAATCCTTTTCATAAACAACTGTAAAAATAATAAAAATGGCATAACACACCTTTGAGAATTATCGCGTTATTTTTCGACGAGTAAAAATAATATATATATATATATATATATACATATATATATAATGATTTATGTTCTCATTCGCAAACGGAAAACACGCGAACAACCCTCTACCCTTTACCCCAAAACTAAACTCGACTATCGTTTTTTACCCCCCCCCCCTAACGTCGTTGCTACTTTTGCGGACAGATAATAATATGCGCGTACGTATAAAAGTTCATGAAAAGGGGAGATTATGCGGGATGACCCACCCGTTCCGTTCCGTTCCGTTCCGTTCCATTCCTATTAAACAAAAGAAAAAAAAGTACAAAAAGAAAAATATAGGATAGAAAGAAAAAAAAAAATATAAAAGTACGTACGATATACAGTATCCTATACCAAATGGTAGGTTTGGAATACAGATAGATGACGTATGGTCGCCTTTGTAGATGCTTATCATTTGAATCATGAAAATTGACGCGTACACTATACACATACATTTACACACATGCATTTATGTATCTATGTATGTATGTACATTTGCATCAAAGAAGAACCCAATATTTTGTGTAAACGACGACGTAAGCTTGATTAACCCGGTCGCATATGTTCCCGATATTTTCTTTTCTTTTTTTTTTTGTTTTTTTCTTTTTTTATTCCACCCTTTTCCTATTTTCAACTCTTTTTTCGCATTAACTTGAATGCACACATACACATATATATCTATATATATATATATATATTTATAAAGTTTGAGTAGCTTTTCAATGGTACTCGATCAACAGTACAAATCCCAATGCGAAACATTCATTGTTTCGATCTTTCACCCGACTATATCATCGACGCCACGATAATAATCCGATCATTTTATCCGCGAATATTGGTGGTGGATTGGTAGTACAAGAAATTCCGTCGGAATTTATGATCTTTCGAACAATCGATGCACTTTCTATGCGAGAGATTTCAAATGAACGATGCCAAAATGCGATTTGCTCGAAAGATGATCATCATCTATACACCGACACACACACACATAAACTATATATATATACGTATAACAACACATAGAAACCGTCTGTCGAAAAGGTATATAGGTAACTTTAATTAACCGTGACCAATTACCTCTAATCGCGATGCGTTACACGTTCGATCAGGTACGTAACTAGATCGACCCCGAAACTTTAGATCCTAGAAAAGACCAATTTTATTGTTCAATTCAACAATACGATCGGAACCTCATTCGGAAATGACGTTCGTTCTTTGAATCCTATCTTCTTCCCACCCCCCCCTCTTCGTCTCGTCTCTCGTGTCTCTCTCTCTCTCTCTCTTTTTCTATAGAACACAATTTTATTTTCGTTTCGCTCGTTCCGCGAACGTAGATCCCAAGTTGTTCGCTCGCTGACATGCTAGCTTGCTAGGGGTTGGTTGGTTGGTTGGTTGGTTGGTTGGTTGCTTGTTTGTTTGTTTGTTTGCTTTCTTTCTTGCTTACGCTATGGTAGTATCCGAGCCCTGGCCCCCCCGGCCCCCTAAGAGTTCAACGAAATCGATTAACTCGCTATCTTTTCTGTCCTCCCATTCCAGAAAGTGCCCCTGTCCCTGCCACCACTGCACCGAACTCCATCCGACGGACATTCAACTCAGGTTAGAATCACGCAAGAACGGACTCCTTTTCCAGGCTGTCGATTTCTCGTAGCTGTAGTTTTCGTCATTTACTTTCTTTCTTTATTTTCTTTTTTTTCTTTTTCTACATTTCAATCTATGTGTATCATTCTCTTCTTTTTTTTATCTCTTTATCCATCTACCTTTATCTATCTGTCTATCTATCTATTTGTCTATATATCTTTATACGGTTTTTCTCTGTATCGTCTAGTTGCTCGTTAATGGTTATATATATATACGTATATGTATGTATATAAAATACGCTTTCGCATACATAGATATATAAATCAACACGCATAACGCTTTATTCATTCTTTTGTAAATATCATTTGATAAAAGAGCTCTCGTGGAATGTTATGGGGTAAGAGCGATTTATTTGTGAAAATGAAATGAAATCGTAGAATTAAAATCGATCCTTATTGGATATTCCATTCAATTAATTAATYCCAATAATAGTTTTTAAAAATATTTAACAAGTTTCGAGAGAATGAGACGAGTGCATAGTATCAATAGTAGGATAATTAATAATTATAAAAATGTGCGCCTGTACGTATGCAATCCTCCAGACACACTTGAAAATACTGCTTGCGAATGCCATCTACTGGGACGGAATTATTTTTCTGCCCGTAAGATAGACAACCCGTAATACACGCGTGTAAAAACAGTTTGAAGTGAACAAAAATTTCGTCCCAACAGGTGCACGCAAAGTGTGTCTAGAGGGTTGCATTCGTACAGGCGCACATTTTTATATAATTATTAGTAATATTATATAATAAATTATCCTACTTGAAACTTGTTTTTTTTGTTATACTCGTAAAACAATGAGTCATATAAAAAAAGAGTTTAATAGGGCAACAAATAATAAATACACGTAAAAGAATAATATTTAATGAGGGAACAACAATCTCTTGACTGTGTATTGCAGCTGCTCAAGCAAAGATTCTGGGACAGGAGGATGTCTACGTGAAGAAGGGTAGTACGATAAGCCTCACGTGCACCGTTAATGTGCAAAGTACACCCCCAAGCAGCGTTGCGTGGCGTCACGGTGGAGCCGTTGTGGATTTCGACAGTCCCAGGTATTACAAATCCGTTGAAATTAGTTGTAAACTATTATAACGTGTGATAACTTTTCTTATTACATAGAAAAAAATAAATATGAGAATAAATTTTTATAACATATGTTTATCCTCGTTCATTTAAAAAAAAATAATAATAATATTCTCCTCGTTAACATATACAAAAAAACGAGGGAGAGAGAGAGAGAGTGTGTGTGTGTGTAAGCAAAAAAAGAGAGGTGAACGTAAAAAAAAAAAAAAGGTTTAATTCAAAGTGACCAATTACGTGAGCTCACGAAAAGTATCAAAGTATCTTTGTTAATTCAGCTTTCACCACAGGGGCGGGATATCCTTGGAGACCGAGAAAACTGAAAGCGGCACGACCAGCAGACTTCTCGTAACACAGGCCAGATTGACCGACAGTGGAAATTACACGTGCACTCCTAGCAACGCGAATCCTGCTAGCGTTATGGTACACGTTCTCAACGGTAAGCTACCATCTTTTTTTTTAATATACTATATACATATACGTATACATATATATACTCTTTTATCTTTTCATTACATGTATATATATCTACGTATAAAAAAGAAAAAGGAATTAATCTCGAATACATATATGCATACCTTATATATCTAAAGGTATTTTTAATAAATAATGGAGAAAGAGAGAAAGAGAGAGAGAAAGAGAGAGGACAATCTATTCATTTTGTTTGATTATGTTCTTAAGTACGAACAACTTGGTACGTCGAGTATACATTTTTAAAAGTTATGTAGCAGTTCCATTTAATCTCAACATATTACTGATACGCACATTCAAGAACGTTAAATGAAAAACAGCGGATAAGGGGGAGAAAAGAAAGAAGGTAGGACTTGGAAAGTAGAAAGACCCATAGAGAAAAGAATGAAAGACATAATATGGTTCAAACGCAAAGTCCACCTCCGTCATTATGGGTCTTCCCTTCCCTTCCCTTCCCTTTCTCTCTCTCTCTCTCTCTCTCTCTCTCTCTCTCTCTTTGCATTTTCTCGTTTATCCACATTTATTTTCATCGTCACATCGTTTAAATGTTTTCCCTATTGAAAATGTCTTTCAAATCCAACGAGCATGAAACTGTAAATATTTATTTTTTTTATTTTGTTTCGAGCAAATTAATGCTCCGGATGTTGCTTGACAAAAGAGAAACGCAACAGGATACACGACGACTCATCCGTAATAATAGTAGCATCATTAAGGTTCGATAAACTCGGAAGGGGAAAAAATGCGAGTACCGCGCCAAAGGGAATTTCATTTCCGCGCGTTTTACTATAGCGTGTTGGACTAAGAATCTTTTTCAAAAGAAACCTAGAGAAAGAGAGAGAGAGAGAGAAATAAATAAATAATGATTTAGAAAACTATCAAAGACAAAACAATTTTCACCTACTTTTTGTTTCGAAATTTATTACGTATTTATTCTCATCGAAATTTTGATTTATAATCAAAACAAATTTATCATTCGATAAATAACACTAAGTTCCTACAAAACAGTAGCAATCTTGAAAAAAATAATGAAAAGTAAAAAACAGGGATGACGAAGTAAGAAACCTGGGTAGGAGAGTTTTCTTCTTCCTGTAAAACGAAACTTTGATGATCTTCCACGAGTAGGACAATTTGAAAGTTGAAGAAGAGCAAGTTTCTCTCTTTAATCTCGACGATTATTCGACAAATTCTCTCTCTCTCTCTCCCTCTCTCCCTCTCTCTGTATAACAATCGAGTGATATGAGAACTGTAGGTCTCTTCAAGTGGGGATGAAAGTTTCCCGTAGGAAGGGGTCCTAGCAAGTTGTTAACGTGCCTCGAAGTATGACAATTCAAAAGTAAAGCTATAGCTTGACCGACGACCGTTTGGTGGTTGTTCATTCATCAAGCATTGAAATTTCCATGGTTGGTGTTACGTTTTGACGTGGCCTTATATTATTTGGGGGTCCGTATTATTGGGTCAGAGCCAAGTTATTTCGGCTTGGAGAACTCTCGTGGCGATAACACGAGCAATATCTTGTTCGGCAAGTTCGACATTCCGGCCTGTCGATCGGACACGGCTCGTTTGCCAAGAACATGAGCTGATGTTACGCTAGGGAGAAGATCTCTCTACCGATAAGAAGAAGAAGAAGAAGAACAAGGGGAGAGAAAGAGAACTGTTTCTCGCTTGAACGAAGATACTACGCGTACAATGAGGGGTGGTATTTCTTGATAGTAATCTCAATAAGGGTGAAATAGTAATCTTGTGTCAAATAATTTTCAATCATTCAACAAAATTCGTGTGGTTAGATCCATTGAAAACAATTTCAATGGATAATATTATAAGTTATATCGTATTAATTGAATATTTAATCCTAATTATAATTGTTTTCCATAATTTACTCTCGGTTAATAAGAAAAAAGAAGGAAACATTATTTACGTAGAAAGTACTCTCTGTATATTGCACGGTATATTCCGTTGGACGATATTGCTTTTCACAGTATAAAGCAATTGTTCTACTAATTGCAACATAATACCTTCTCATTAGATCTATTTTCTATGAACGGACGGGAAAGATCACGTAAGCTAACACGTGATATACCCTACCCTACCCTACCCTACCCTCCCCTCCTCCCCTCCTCCTCGCCCAATGAAATACCACCGCATATCGCTGCGTGCGTATTGCATGCCTCGATGGAAGTTAATGCACGGCAGTTCGTCTGCATAATTAATTCACAGGTAACACCGTTCACCCAAATCGTCCAAACGACCTCGACCGTACGCACGTATACCCACGCATTCATGCATTCACGCACTCACGCACTCACGCACGTACGTACCTACGCCTACCATCAACAAAACAACCAACCGAACCGACCGATCAACCGATCCTCTCTCTTCTCTACCTCGAACCACGGTATTGGTCATCTGTGTTATTTCAAACACAGCTGATTACTCCACGAAATTGACCGCAAATTTCGATTATTTCGCGATAAACTTTGGTTTATACGAGAGCCACCAACAGCTCTTGCACGTTTCTACCTATTAATGCAATTACTGAAAATCCTACCCCCGCCTATTGGTTTTAGTTTGCTTTCGTTACAAACCTTTTTGCTTGGTACTCACCATTTTTTCCAGACACCGACCAGATTTTGTCGGAATAAGCCCCACCGGTAGTTAGGACAATTTCATTTCAATCGTTAACCCGATAACCAACAACCGTGTTATTTTCAAACAACGTAATCTGATCGATGCAATTTTTATCGATCTTGTTTACGATTATACAATTACTTTCTCTCACTCTTTCTCTATCTGTCTGTTCATTTCTACAATTTTTGTGTCAATACTTTCAGCTTAACGTACACCTGTACCATTAACGTTTGCAAATGTTTATTTGATCAAATTGACGAAATTTTCTCAAATGTTCAAACTGTTTATTTAATATTTAACTAATAAGAGTAAAATTGAAATAAATAGTGTGTTGTTTTTTCGATGATGTTTCAGGGGAACATCCAGCAGCCATGCAACACGGTGGTAGTTGTGGCATATTCTGTTCCGTACCGATCATCCTTCTCACCGGTTCTACTCTTCTGATCTCAAACCTGTTAAGGTGAGCGGTCCCTTCTTGTGTGAAACATCGAAGCTAAACAAGATTATTAGATATTAGAAAAACATGAAGAATCGTCCTAAATGAAAATAATACACACAAAAAAAACTACAAACAATATATAAGGAAAAATACTACGACAGTTATAAATCGATATCGAATAATGATGAAGAAGAAAACCAAAAAAACAAAATACAAATAATCAAAATAACCAATACGAACGAGTGATTTTCGATGATAACGCAAAAAAAAAGGATACTTACGTAATTTTACAGATAAAAAAAACAAATGTAATATTTGTCTGACCTAGGACGAAGCCTAAAAACGAAAACGAATTTTTCGCGAGGCTAATTCTAAAAAAAAAAAAATAAAAAACAACCTAATTTCTCGACAAACGAGATCTCGTAACTGCCTGTATGTGTGTTAAAAAAATAAAAAAAAATAAAAAAAAGGAAATATATCGAAGATATTTCCTTTTTAAACCATTCATCTATTAAAAAAAAAAAAAAAAACCAAAACCCCTTTATCATCGAATCAATTCCAATAAACTCGAAAGGAAGAATAATAAATGAATGATTCATTCAAGAATCGTGTGGTGTGTTTCTAATTTTTAATCATCGTCAAGATGAATCGAGATAATATTATAATCGGCGCGTAACCTATTTAAAATAAAATAAAATTAAAAAAAAAAACAAATCTATAGATAGTGAGATAAGTTAACATTTGTATATATAAAAGCGGATGTTTGGATGTTGTTATGGTTCGACGTAACCTCGATGTACAGACTAAGGCGTTTATATATAAATATACATACTAAATATATATATAAATATATAAATAAATAAATAAATATAAATTATAAATAAATAATATCCGCGAAAAGAAGGAATGTTTGGTTCCATAACGTTAAGTTCGAAACTAGCGTTGTATATAAACTTATATATCCTGATCGATCACATTATCGTAATTGCTCATCGCTTATTGCAAAATTATAGTTAAAAGTAAGACAACAAAATTCATACTCGACGATTTTCTCTAATTGTTTTTTTTTCTTTTCTTTTCACTTTCGATGAAAACAATTCTATAATTTTTTGTTATTATTCATGCACGTTTGCCTAACTATTTGTATACAACGATTGTTTTATTCCACTATTCCTAAATTGTTTAACACGTTCGTCGCCCAGCCCAACCCGTTTCGGTTGAGTTTCTCACCAGGCCCAAAATTCAACTGTCGGCAGACCTACGTAACGTAAAGAAGCGATTAGTAGAAATATCAACAATGCGACCCAAGTATTATGGTTATATTATATTACTAGGAATGTCCCACCACGCGTTGCTGTGGCTCACAATCAGCAACGAATTACCTTATACCGTCATCTGTTAAAATGATATAAACTATCCTATCTTTAAAGTTAGATAAAACTGCATACAGTGTGCAAAATTTGATTAAAATTGGTTCAGTAGTTTAGGAGTCCATTGCGGACAAACAACGTGACACGTAATTTCTATATATTAAGATTATATTTTATTTACCGAAAATAATTTTCTTTCGAAATGGAAAATGTGATAAGTTTTTTCAACTAAAAATACTATAACTTCAACAAAAAGAGTATCATCGTATATGGTGATGAGGCCCCCAGGGAAGCATACCCGTCACCGTATATGATGACATGGCGACGAACGTGTTAACTTTAAAATTTGTAATACGATATAAGATTGCTGGTTGTGTTGTCTCGTCTCTCTCTCTCTCTCTCTCTCTCTCTCTCTCTCTCTCTCTCTCTCTCTCTCTCTCATAATTTGACATATCTCTTCTCTCGTTAAGAACAACGGGCCTTCTCGATACGTGGGTTTAATTACATCGTTTAATTAATAAATGTCGAGTTTAAAATAATAGAAAATAATGAAAACGGTTTTGAGTTAGTTCTTCACAATTTTTGTTTTATTATATTTTCTTTCTCTTTTTTTTTTTTTTTGGTTTCTTTATTTTCCACGTTCCTGGAATAAAACGCGTACGGCGCCCTGTGCCCTCTCGAGAGTCAAATTTCCGAAATCGAATGCGCGCTCGTTCGAGAACTAGATAATCGAATACGTAAAACACGTAACGTTAAAAGATAGAATTTAATTATTTGACTAATAGCATATTTCATTAGATATTAACGATTATAAACAAAAAAATAAAATAAAATAAAATAACAAGAACAAGACATCAAATAAAAAAAAATACAAATCATTAACAAGAACAACAAGAACAACAAGAACAAGAACAACAACAACAACAAGGACTATCGTAAGGCCTAGAATCATAAGACTACTTTACCTTTAAAAGTTATATAAATTTTTTATAACCTTGTATCCCGAAAAATTAGAGAACGATGAAAAATAAAATAATGATGCGAGAACGTAACACGAGGATCGTAAAGGTGTGAATGAAAAAAACCAAAAAAATTACCCAAAAAAAAAAAGAAAACATCGGATCGTGAGATCTATTTAATATTAGTTCGTTGTATAGTTTATGAAAAAAAAAGATATAATAATAAAAAAAAAAAAAGAAAAAAAAACAAATGGAAAAATTTACGTCGTTGTGAAAGGACAATATCTTTAGAACCAAAAAGAAAAATGAAAAAGGGGGAAAGAAAAAAATAAAAGAAAATCAAAAACACAGGGAAGAAAAACTTCAAATCTTACGAACGATATCGAACGTGAACTGCGATTGATTGATTGATTGATTGATTAATTGATTGATTGATTGATTGACTGATTGATTGATTGATTTGTTGATTGCAGTATGGTGTGATATATTATAGCGCTTTTTGGATTTTCTAATTAAATGATATTTACAAAATTAATATTGAATGAGATTCAATTTGTTTCGAGTTGAAAGAGTTAGACATTTAAAAAAAAATGAACAAAAAATAAGCGGAAATAACGTTATGCTATTGGACGTTGCGTGATTATTATAGAATAATGTGTGTTGCGCGAAAGAAAATTTATTATGAACGAGATTGTTCGTTTATTTGTTAATAATTATGAAGGGTAGAGGTAAGAAGTAACATCTCTGTATATGAAAAGTGTCCGTCGAAATGCATTCAATTAGGGTGGCGCCACAGTTCGCAGAGTGTCAATTTTAAAGGAAGCGCCAAATATTATTTAGAGTAGGATTGAGAAATAAACAAGGAACACAAATTTCACAACACAACATTTGACCCATAACTGTTTTTTGTTATTCGCATACTTTTATCGTAAAATTAAATGATAAAAAAATCAATAAACGTACTGTTCACAGTTCATGAAATAAAATCACTTTAGCTACCACGTTTTCTCATAATAATTCTTTAAGGTTATATTTACTACATTACTTTTGTACTACGCAAGTAGTTGAAATTTTCAATAATTAACTACTTTAGCTGACAATAATATTACATTTTTTAACTCGGCATACTTCAATTCGTTTACAATTGCTACATTCATACCATACCTTCTGTCTACACCAGCGCCATTCTGGAAGGTTTTTGAACTGTTATTTATAGCATACGCTGAACACTTTTTCACATTTTCTCCCATAAGAGATGTTACTCCTTACCTTTACCCTCCATATTAATAATATCTTGTTAAAGAAAGAAAGAAAAAGAAAAGAAAAAAATAAGACAACGAAGATTATTTCGTTCGAATTGCGCGCGAGGGTTGGTTTCTCATTCTTCAAAATTTCATTCCTTGAGATTTTGTATTATTTTTTATTCTATTTTTTTTTTTTTTTTCTAACGATTCACGATAGCAGTGAAATGCGTGGGAAGGGAAAAACATTATTTTCGCGCACGAAATAATGATACGATTGGACGAATGAACGACGAAGGATATCGGAGAGATGAAATAAATAAATAATAAAATAAAATAAAACACACTTACACACTTACACTCACACACAAACGTGCAAACAATTATAGCTCTCAATTGTGACACCTAGCTCATTGATATCTGCGACTCGTATCCTTACCGAAAAAAAAAATAAATAAATAAATAAAAAATATTGTACACTAATTTAAGAATAAGTCCTAGAAAGAAAGAAAAAACATTGTATATATWAAAAAAAAAAAAAAAAACATTCATAATCGACACACACTGTATCATGTTATACGCGAAAAGAAGTCGACGTAAATTTAAAAAAAAAAAAAACCCAAAAAAAAAATAAAAAATAAAATAAAAGACAATTATGCGAAAACTCGAGAAGCAGCGAAAAAACGCGCGTGCATGCGAAGTGTGGAATATGAATGATGAGAAAAAAGACGAAGAAAGAAAATGATGATGAAGAAGAAGAAGAATAATAAACATTTAATTAAAAAAAAAAAAAAAATGAAAAATAATTAGATGAAAAAAAATACGAGGGGGACAGAAATATAATGTGCGGTGAGGAATATTATACTGTATAAAAAAAAAAAAGGAATAAAATAAAACAACCAAAAAAAAAAAGTAATCATTGACGTGGAAACTGTTTGAATAAATGTAATGATTATAAAAAAGTGAATTTCATTTCTTTCTTCTCTACCATACCTGTTACCTTTTTTCTTCCTTTTTTTTTTTAATTACACACCTTTCCCATTTCTCTCTGACAATTTTCTATTTTTCCTTTCCCCATATATATATCTCTGTTTTACTCTCTGTCTGTCTGTCTGTCTGTCTATCTCACTAAAACTCTTTCGATTTCCACAAAATCGTGGCAAAGTTGCACGTGGAATATATGCGCGTTTGTGCTTTGTGAACAAGTCCGATATTTCACGAAATTCGAGTCCTGTCGTGTCTCGATTTGTTCGCTGACTGATTCTCTCTCTCTCTCTCTCCTTCCTCTCTCTTGGTTAATTGTCACATCGATGAAGTTCGAAACACGTGTATACAGAATAGATAGTCGTGCGATCCAGCACGCACGTTTCACGTGCCACAGCATAGATAGGCAATGGCCTCGGCATTCTGTGCGTTTCAAACTAAATACAAAGCGCTAACCTCTGACAACTGAAAAACAATACCCAATATACAGGTAACCGGAGTATAAAACGAGAAAAGGATAGTAACTAATAAATAGAATATGTTATACATACAACCCCATTTCTCCTATAAACCCCTTCCGAACAATTCAATCTATTAATCGGTACAATTTGTTGATCAATATTGTGTTAACAATTTTAGAAAATGTATACAAACAGAAATAAAAATCATACACCGAAAAGAATCTACAATAAAAATGTAAAAAGCTTTTTAAAATATCATTTACCAAAATGTAAGTAATTAAATATGTTTTGCATATGTAGTATTATATGCAACACACACACACACATCTGTCTCATCACTTTGTTCACCACCACCATCTATGGATAACAATGAATCGTTGTCAAACGTCATAATCACGATGAAAATCACGAAGCATTGTCTATTCGTTACAATGCGGAAACAACCCCTTGCCCCTCCCCTCCCCTCCCCCAATACACACACAGAATCGTATACGTTAAATAATGAAAGACGAGTAGTATTTCGAACAGGGAGTTATTGTTGCTTTTAGTTCTGAATTCATGATTCATTTTTTTTTCTTCCCCCCTTTCAACGCAAACACTAGATAGCGCGATTAACAAACACCACCGGGGTGGAATTGTTTTTTTTTTTTTTTTTTCCTTTAAATGTACACAAGCTTTTATACATTTGCCGTGTCTTGTTTTCATTATTGTACCGCGTACTTGAAATAAACAAACAAACAAAAACAAAACAAAAAAGGAAGAATACAAAACGACCAAAACCAAAAAATCTGTACGTCGATTTTTGGTGAGTGCATTTTTATAAAGAATGCAAGTACTAATACTACCACTCGTATTATACGATAGTAATCTCTCTTTATCTCTCTCTCTCTCTCTCTCTATCTCTCTCTCTCTCGCTCTCTACAGTGATTATATCGTCGATCAAAATCCACAATTTATAATACAACACTTCACTCTATTTTACTCACCGGATTAACAAGTGATGACCACGATGATGAAACAAAAATTGAAAGCATCCGAAAATTGGCTCTTTTTTTTAATTGGAGATATTCCTTTTCCCTTTTTATCCTCTCTCTCTCTCTGTCTAACTTTCATACAAAAAAAAAAGAAAAACGTCAACGTTAGAATCTCAGGCAAAAGAAAAGGAAATGGAAAGCAAGAAGAAGGGTGAGTTGGGGAGGTGTGTTTGGTTGGTGGAATCCTAGGAAGTAGTAGATAACGATCGGCGAACAAAATCGCGCGCGATCGAACAGGGTAGTGGATAGGGCGCCTGAGGGGGGAAGGGTTTCTCGTGCGACCGATAAAGTATCAGCCGTCTATCCGGTCGTGTTTGTCGATATTTTATCGGTTTAATTGTTTTTCGATAGCCAAGAGCCATTGGAGCTTTTCACGGTGCTGCTACGGTTGAAAGGGGTCAGCGAACCAGTCATGGGGGGGTGAGAGAGAGAGAGAAAGAGAGGACCAACCCCTAGAAACCTCTCGCAAGAGGGGTCACAAGAGAAGGGGAGAATTGAACATGGATAGTGTAGACGAACGAACGAACGAACGAACGAACGAGAGAAAGAGAGAGAGAGAGAGAGTGAGAGAGAGTAGTTACTAGCGCGTTCGGTGCTTCGGCTATTCGTTACAACGAAATTGAATCGCACGTTAACGGGGCAAGATGGCAAACACTTTATTGGCAAAACAATTTTTTTTTTTTACTCTTTTTTTTCCTAAACCTCCACCACCCCTCATTCTCCTACCCTTCCTCAACATAGCGGTGGAAAACAGCCAGTCTAAATTAGTCGGCACCCGATCGTCACGGATACCCCAAAATTTGTCCTCGAACAACTACCCCTAGCTTAAAACTACCTTGCGTAAAACAAAAAACAAAAAAAAAATAAAAAAACCTCCGCATCGCGTTGAAACGATCACTTTTTCCTTTTTTTTTGTTTTTTGTTTTTTAGACATAACATATACAGGGTTACACGCGATGTGTACGAGCAACATACGCGAATCTCGTACGCGTACGGATGAAGTTTCAAGGTAAAAATCCCCCTAACTGTCCAATTCTCTCTCTCTCTCCATAAAATTTGATCCTTTCTTTTGGCAACCATAAAAAAAAAACATGAAATAATAAAAAAAGAGCGTAGAAACGATTCGATTTTTAGGACAAATTCAAAAATATTTACTCGCTAGTACTACTCGGCCCAAGTTTTTTTGTTATTTTTTTCGTAAAATTGAGCACGCACGAAATACCGATAATCCTGTAATAAGTTGATCTTTAATTCGAACTTTGGCAACGAGAGAATGTAAAAGAGATAGAGATAGATAGAGAGAGAGAGAGAAAGATAGAAACGAAAGATAGAAATACGGGGTATGCGTGAAATTTATCGTCGCTATACGTGGCCACTAACGAATGTGTCCCAGAAGAGCGAGAAGCAGCTGCCGGACACAATACAGTTTTCCAATTTTCAACTTCCCTCTTTTTCCGTCCGTCTTTCTCTATATCCCCCCTACCCCTCACCCTTTCACCCCGATACTATTTCAGTATCTCTTTTCCTCTCAGAGTAACTAGTACCTCTCTTCAATTGGTGGGGAAAACCTCGTTCGATTCGTGCTGACCCAAACAACGCTGGGACGCATACCCATCCTCCTCCTCCACCTCCTTCTCCWCCTCCTCCTCTTCCTTCTATCATCCACCCACTCACCCACCACCATTTATCGTTCGTTACTCGAGCAATCATAAAGCACGTTGATTCACGGTCTCTCATAAATTTAGTGTTATTTTATCCAGCTACCTTAGCACCGCTTAAGTGCCGCCTATCTCTTTCCTCTTTCTACCCAAACCACCCCTTTTTCCCCACCCCGTTCCCACTCCTCTTCTTCATCGTAACCGAATCGCAAACCTAGAACTGTTAATCTCTCACCAAAAAAACTGTCGTATGATAGCTCTGCTCACGTAACAAGCATTTTAATCGATTACAACTACCATTATATACTAGATACTGTTAATAAAGTCGAATAAAAAAAAGTGATAAGCAACGTACGATAAGCAACCTTTTCTTTTTTTTAATCCATATATCGAACACTTTTAACTCGTGTTCGATCAGTTCAATTACCAATTTTAGTCTCACCCTCTCATCCAATCTTTTATAAGGTTTTCTACATTTACTTACTTTTTTTTTTTATTGTCATCTACAAGTGACAAAAACACGTGACTAATATATTTATGTTATATAACAAATACGTTTATACGATTAGACAAAATTTGGTTAATATTGTGTAATGCATTTTCATGTTTCCATTTCCGTCATCATCGAGCAACATTCAACGCTTGAATCCGTTCGATCGAGGCTCTGGCTGGTTGGTTGGTTGGTTGGTTTGGTTGGTTGGCTGGCATCGTCGCGCATAATCGTGCACCAATTCTGTCCACCACGTCGTAGTCGTCGTCGTAGTCGTCGTCGTCGTAGTCATCCTGGCCTACATCGAAAGTTTACGCGAGCGCGTTGTCTTGTTATGCCAACTAAGGGAAAATCGATATGTTTAATGGTAGCGACAAACTGTGTGGTGAACGTTCGTTGTTACACGTACGCTAATTAAAATACGAAAGGATGTGTTACTAGGAGAATAAGAGAAACAAACAAACAGAGACAGATAGACAGACAGACAGACAGGTAGACAGGTAGACAGGTAGAATAGAAAAGGAGAGAGAGAGAGAGAGAGAGAGGGAGAAAATTGTTAATTTCATCATGTAGTAACAATGTTAAATTGAATGATACTTTCAATTCGATATAAATATATAAAAACGAATAAAGTTAATATTTAACACGTTCGTCGCCCAGTCCGTTTCGGTTGAGTTTCTCGCCAGGCCCAAAATTCGACTGTCGGCGCGCCGTAACGTAAAAAAAGAACAATAAGTAGAAATATCAACAATGCGACCCTAGTATTACGGTTTTATTATATTATTTTATTTTATTTACCGAAAATAATAAAATATAAAAATATTGTTTATTTACCGAAAATAATAAAATATAAAAATATCGTTTATTTACCGAAAATAATAAAATATAAAAATATTGTTTATTTACCGAAAATAATTTTCTTTCGAAATGGGAAATGTGATGAGTTTTTCCAACTAAAAATACTATAACTTCAACAAAAAGAGTATCACCGTATATGGTGACGGAGCCCCCGGGAAAGCATGCCCGTCACCGGTATACGGTGACACGGCGACGAACCTGTTAATACAATAAAATACATGTTGAATGAAACCATGTAACCCAAAGTTCATTATACCTTCCCATCATTATTTTAAAATAATTTCATATTGAAATATGTTAAACAACCATTATGTTGTTCCAGTACCGTACCAAGATTTTATATAGCAAAACCGTCTTGTAGAAATGTATATATATATATAGTTAAAAAAAAAAAAAAAATAACAGGGAAAGAGAAGAAAGAGGGAAAGAGAAGAAAAACTCGATTGAGATAGGAGAAGATCCTTTTCAGGACAAAATTGCCGGAGCGCCCTCGTGAATTTTATATTCAGAACATTACCATGCCCTGAATTATTTTTCAAGTTTTGGACAAGAGCAACGAACGGGGGAGGGAGGGGGGAGTAGCAAAGGGGTGGTTGGGATAGTAACTCTTTCTGCACGAGGTTCTCTTGTCGTTTTCCTACCCCCGTTTCTCGACCCTCTTTTGGACCAACCGAGTAAACGAGAGAGAAAGAGAAAGAGAGAAAGATAGAGAGAGAGAAAAATTTCACCTTCTATCCTACACGCTGGTAGTATATATCTGTCAGTTCGGTAGACGAACAAGATGGAGTATAAAACTCAAACCAGCGACATTTACGTAACGCTTGTCACGTGCACGCGAAGAAACGAGGGTGAGAAAAATGGTGATGCGTTCATCCCCCTCAGCTTCTACTATCTTCTTTCCTTTTCTATCATCTTCTTCCAAGCACTTGTTCGTCATTCTTCCTCTTTCCTCTCTCCCTCTCTCTTTCTCTCTCTCTTCTTATACTTATTTCCCATACCATCACGATCATCGACTTATTCGACGCGATAATGCGTTTAACTTTCAGGCACGAAACATCTTACCCATCTCTTACCATTTGCGTTTCGCATTTTATATATATATATATATATACCCACATCTCTCTGTTGAGTGCTGAACTATTTAAAGGTACTAGGAATGTATTATAATAATAATAATAATAATAATAATAATAATAATAATAATAATAATAATAATAATGAAAATAAGTATACACGACGAATAAAAATGTGTTCGTATTTACTAATCCATTTTTTTTTACGTGCGACATATATCTAATATCCATTCGATTAATTCTAAATTATTATTTAATAATTCAAAATAAAATTAAATTTCATAAAATACTATGACCCTGATACATATGTGTGTGCGTGTTCCTTGATGACTTATTTCTATTAAAAAGAAAGAAATATATATATATATATAACTAAACTAATCTAAAACTACAAGCTTAATTAATCTTAAATTAACTTAAGACTAAGATTTTTTACCTCCCCTAATGACGGGGGAAGGGGAGGGAGGGAGGGAGGGAGGTAAAAGATTAATGTAAAGCATTTGAGATCAGCTAGCAGGATTTTTTTTTGTTCTCGGTGATATAAAACGACGTTGAATCTTCCGTTACAATTCGCACGTTTGGCCCCTTTCTTTTGCACGAAACATTTTTCATTATACACATATATATATATATATATTTGGAAATTTGTGTGGTGTATGAATCAAAAAGTATAATTATACGCGTCGTACGAAACTAAAAGACAAAAAGAAGAAATGAATAAATTAAAAAAAAGAAAAAAAAAGAAAATATAAATGGCCGGACCAGGGTAGTACTACGATACACGATATCAAATTACTTCCGCATCCTTTGACGCATCTTGCTCACTTTAATCTTACCGGTCCTAAAAGCGTCATTTAAAGAGATGCTATCGTGTGCTTGCAACTGCGAAAGAAAAAGAGAGACAGAGAGAGACAGAGAGAGAGAGAGAGACAGAGAGAGAGCGCAGAACTACCAAAGGACACCCTTGTCCCACTCCCAAATGGCTTAGCGCGTCCTGAACGAAATGAGAACTATCGCAACTACTACCTAGTGCTTTCTAAATTATTTGCGAAGAAGAAAAAAGTTAACGATGAAAAAGATTTAATGCGAACCGTGCTTATATGTGTGTTAGTCTTTTTTCTCTATAACCCCTCTCTCTCTCTCTCTCTCTCTCTCTCTCTCTCTCTCTCTCTTTCTCTTTCTCTCTCTCTCTCTATTACTCTTTGCATCTTCCTCCCACGTTACCCTCAACCATCACTTCAACATTTTTATCGTCATTTCGTTCTTATTAAAAAGTCCTCGGTCTATTTATTCGATCAAATGTCCCGAACCTTTTGACCATTGCCCCGACCACCGTTAATTTCTTTTTCAATGTAAAAAGGTAAAAGGTCTTCTTAAACTTACGGCTAATTAAATTAACGATAAAAACTTTATCTAACCATAAACGATTATGAAACAACTTCTTTTAATTGATGTAAAACGAAAGAGAAGTAAATGAACCAAAAATAATAAATTAAATAAATGATAAAGTAATATATAAGCGCGTTATGCATGTTGTAGGATCTTAGACGCGTGTTTTTTGTGAGTGTGTACACTTGTATTATTATTATTATTAATTGGCATTAGGAACTCGAAAGTTCATTGCCGCAAATACCAAATTCCGTCCCTGAGCACGATCCTTCCACATTCGCAGTCTTCGTATCCTATTTCTTTCAGGTCCCATCTAATATTATCCTCCCATCTACGTCTCGGTCTACCCAGTGGTCTTTTCCCGTTTGGTATACCGACCAATATTTTGTGCGCCATTCGATCCTCCCCCATGCGTCCCACGTGACCAGCCCATCTTAATTGGCGTGATTTTACGACGTTGACAATGTCCGGTTTTGCTGTACAATCGATGTACTTCAACGTTATGGAGTTTTTTTCATTCACCCGTTTCCTCATCGCGTTTTGCACCGAACAATTTACGAAGAACTTTCTTTTCGAAAACCTTACATTTCTTTTCATCCCGTAACGTAAGCGACCACGATTAGCAACCATAAAGGACTACCGGCAGGATGATTGTCCTGTATATCCTGATTTTTAATCGCCTAGACAACAACCGCGAGCTGAGTAATTTGTTAATCGAATAGAAACATGAATTGCCTAGATTGATTATTTTCTTAAGTTCTTCGTTAATTTCGTTCGTCTGGTTTATGATCGATCCTAAATATATACCTAAAGTTGCTGACCCATTCAAAAGTTTTATCCCGGACGACCAAAGTTCCAGGTACTAGGCC